TTGGCTTATTTTTCCAAGTTAAGTTCATATTTGATATTTGAAAGCTATTTTAATCTGTATTAGCATAACCGGTAGAAGTCTCTATATTTTTATTTATTTTGTGCTGCTAAATTTTAATTAATGCCATCTTGTATTTTTAAAAATAAGTGAACTGGAAGAAAAGCAGAGTTTTATAATACCCCCTCATACACAGGGAGAAAAAGAGAGAGAGGAGAGAGAGAGAGAGAGAGAGAGAGAGAGAGAGAGTAAATATCAATTAGGAGCCAGAGCACAGAGAGAGACTTAAAATGAATTAGAAGTCAGGGCACAGAGAGACCCGGCTTCTCACTAGAGCTCTCTCACACTAACTTGGATAAATGACCTTGGACAAATCACTAAATCTCTTTAGACTCAGTATCTTCGTTTTATGATAGGCAGGTGGACTTTGCTTGGAAGCCTGGTATGCCACATCCATTCCCTTGGGTATTACACCTTTATAACTGAGGTTTGACCCATGAACCTTTGATTCTCTGATTCATTCAGATAGACATCAAATTTTAAAGTGATGATAGCAACAATGGCAAATTATTCCATCAGAGAAGAAGCAAAAAAGAAAAAAAAATCTAAAGTTATTCATTCTCTTGTCTGCCTAGTCCTATTCCCAGGGGTGACATTAATATATTTTAAAACTAGAAGGGCTGAGCCGGGTGTGGCGGCACACACCTTTAATCCCAGCATTTGGGAGGCAAAGGCAGGCAGATCTCTGAGTTGAAGGCCAGTCTGGTCTGCACAGCAAATCCAGGCCAGCTGTGGCGACAGGGAGACCCTGTCTCAAAAAGACCATCCCCCTCCCCCCAAAAAAAACCCAGAAGAACACCAGTTGTGGTGAGGGCACATTTTTTCTGTAACCCCAGGACTCTGAGGCCAAGGGAAGAGAACTGAGAGTTCAAGTACAACCTGAGCTACATAGTAAGTTCCTGGCCAGCCTGATCTACACAGCAAGACTCTCGCAAAACAACAAAACGGAACAGCACCACCACCTCTAACAAAACTTAGAAAATCATAACACGAGCAAATCAGACCTGATAATGGCTGCAAACGCCCAGGGGAGTCACATGAGCTCCTAACCAAGCTCCTGCACTGTGTCCTCCCCTGCATGACACTGTTCACTCTGGCAGACTCTTCTAGACTTTCAATGCAAGTCATTTATATGCCTACACATAGACACATAAAAATACAAACACCATTCTTCCATTTTTCATTTGTAAAAGCTAGTCATGCTAATTATACATCTCTGAAATTACAAAAGATTCAATATTTAAGAGTTAGGAACTGTTGCTTCTAAGAACTGTACTCCCAAAAAGAGGATACCTACCCAAATATGGCAGCAACAAAACGAGACATTCTTTTTTTTTTTTTTTTTTAAGAAGAAGAAGCATTTCATTACAGTTTTAACATACTCAACAGTTGCCAGAGCTAAGATACATCTCTTTCAAAAGTGGCTACAAAATTTTTAGGTTTGCTCTTGAATTAATACAGTTATACAATATTGAACTCAGTATAAGCCCTGTAAGACAAAATTGAATGAGTTTTTAACCTTTAAAAAAGATCTCCATTTCATTTTAAAATATACTGTTTCTTACAGAAAGACTCATTGTTTCTGCTAATAACACTGAGATGTTGGTGCATGTGTCTCTAATCTGTATGTATCTGATTATTACTAGTCATGGTCGGTTGCACTTGGATCTTCGGCACCTGTGTATGTCTATAAAGTCATCAAGTAGATTTCAATGTTAATATTTATCACCTCTACTAATTAACATGATGTAAATTTCCATGGTTCCTCCTCAAATATATTTTTTAAAATGTGTTGATTGTGTGTGTGTGTGTGTATCACACAGAACATCCCAAACCATCTTATTCAACTATACACCCACTTCCCAGATGGCACCCTCCCATACCTC